GACTCTTTGTTAATGTATGGGATCTTAGAGACACTCCATATGGCTAAGGCAACGTATCCTGAGTACTTTTTCCCTAGGAGGAATCATTATCCCTGATCCTTTAGAAAGGTATGCAGCAAAATGCTATCACTTCCTAGGTGAGTACTAGAAAGAGGGACCTATTTTAGGGTGCCATGTGGGTTTTCTAGCCTTTTCTTTTCTGCAAGTGGGAAAAAACTTTAAGCAAAAATAGACAAATTAGAGAACTCAGGTCTTAGTAGTACACTTGATATAATCACATCCCACCTCACCATGTGGATCTCTGGAGACAAACTGCACACAAGAGCACACAGGCTCCCTTTGGGGTGGATGGATGGCTGTGCTTCTTGGAAAAGTATATACAGACATGCAGTTTTCAAGCTGTTCCTTTCTCCCTTTGCAAAGCCCTAAAGTTTAGGCTTCAAGTGAATTCAATTAACAAAAAGAAATGTGAATACCACCAATCTTGTTTTCAAAGCTCATTTACAGTTATGCTCCATCCACTTAAGAGCTCCTGACAGCAGCAAGCTCTGTTGCTGGAAAGCTGCCACATGAAATGCCTGTATCATGCTTGGGTGCTAGAGCTGAATAGAATAGGTCACATGGAGTTGGCCCCCATTCAACAAGCACGATCTTGAAATAAACAGCTATAGGTTTTTCCCTCTTTTTTTTTTATTTTAACTAGGAACACACAAACCTGTCTTCAGCTGCTAACCTTAATACATTACTCATTCTTCCTTTCAAATAACGTCATGTTCAAAACCCCAGTGACTGCAGAATATTTACTTGAGGCTGCTACTGCTGGTTTCTCTAGAACTGTTTATTTTTCCATGCATGAGGTCATTACATCACTCTGTGGTTTTCTTAAAGGTTGTCAGGGTAGGTTGGAATCTCTTGCTAACTAAAACCAAATCACTAAGTAGCACAAACAGATTTGGAGATAACCCAGCTCTGGAAACGAGGACAACCATAGATTCCTCGGTGGAGATGGGATGCTCCCAAACAGGGAGCCATTAGATTTCTTGGAAGCGGGATACATTATCAAGCATTTCCCTAGATTAAGAACTGTAAAAAACCAGTCATTTGGACTGTTCCAAGCTGGAACAGGTTGGGAGGGAGGCAGTAGGAAAGTAGCAGGCTCAAATGGTACAAGTAGAATGAAAAGACAGTTCCCACTCATGCTGATTACAGAATGGCCATTGCAAAGGTCTCATCATCTGTATCACCTCCTGCTCTGGTAGTATTAAAAATAAAAGGACACATCACAGAGGGCAGTGCTACATAACAGACTCAGTTTGGGGTATCCATGAGTGTGCACACATGAGTGTGCATGTTTGGGGAAGGTGAAAATCAATTCAAAACAAGCATCAGAAAATGTTTTTGTCATCCTGTCACAGCAAACAAGATATTGTGTTGATCTAGATCCTTCACTTGCCCAAAAAGAAAAATTGACTTTTGGGCTTTTAGGATTCATAAAGGCAGAAGAATAAGTTCATAAGTGTAGAAAAACAACTTTTCTGCTATTCAACAGTCCAGATGTTAGAGTATGTTCATATCATGGTTCCTGCCTCTGGCCAAGATTTGAACCTGCGTCTCACCCTACTGAGAGAGAGACTTAGTTGTCATTTCATTCTTTAAGGCAGACTGGGGTAACAGCACTGGCAATCCCTCCTCCTAGCGATGCTGTTTTACTTAGCATAGAAAAATTCACTGGCAAAATGCCTGGAGGCATATAGATTCTCAGTCAAGTGCTCTAATCACCAGGCTAGAGTCATTCTGCTTTTCCTGATCTTTAGCTTAATTAGTATTTACACATGCCAAGCAAAATGTATATGCTCCGAAAGAGAGGACTCTTTCAGGAGAACCTCTTCTGTTTGTCAACACCAAATGAAAGGTGGAACACTCAGACTTCAAACGCAGCTCTTATGAGATACAGGCTGTGTACACAACAGTGTCACTCTGCAACGCTCAGCTCCCTGGTGGCTGGTTCACTCTGAAGCCTAGCATTGACCAGAGACAATGACAGCAAATTACAAAGCCTATTTGTCTCCATATAGCAATTCTTAAATTCTCTTCATGGTTGATATAGTAATGGTGCTAGCTTTCCAAGGTGCCCAGTGTCAGTGCTGATTAGAGAGCAGCACACATCCTCTGACAGTAGTATCTACTGGACTTCGCTGCAAAGGACAGGGCTATATAACGACCACAGGGAGTAGAAAGATCAAGGTTAAGCATTTCAATATACAAACTCCAAGGAATAGGGTAGGCTTTCAAGAACACAAGACCAATAAAAAAGAACCAAAATAAAAGAAGAGTTAGGCTGGATGTTACAAAAAGAAATCCTGAGATTGAGCTCAGACAGCAGAGCAGCTTCCTGTGGGAAGAAGTGAAATCTTTATTGCCCAAGGCATTCATACTACACTAGAAAATACTGCACTTGATATAGTATAAACATTCACTATCCCTAAGGTAGTAGATTAGATGACCTACTAGGTCTTTTCTCACCTCTAATTTTCAATGATCTCACTAAATTTCTGCAAGAGGATACCAGGCTGTACCTGCTTCAAGACAGTAAGTGCAAGCTCAGAGAGACAACATAGCTGAGCGAATACCAAAACCAAAAATCCAATCTTGCACTAGTAAAATTTACCTTAACCCTCTAAAAATAAACGAAAAATCAGAATTGTGCTGAGCATTAACATTTCAAGCTGACAAGGGCCAAAAGCAATTAAAACCATCCCCTAATTTTGCATGTCCATATCGTGACAGCTGTTTCATCATCTTCAGCCAAGACAGACTTGAAGACACTTGATTCTAAGTGATAATTATCCTCCCCAATTCTTTGTTGTTCGATTTTACCTACCCTACATTGGCTTTTCACATATATGACAAGGGATGAAAGGAATGAAAGATACCACACAAGGGGACAAGGCGCTACTGATTGAAAGAAACAGAGTGAAGAAGTAGTCCACACTTAACATCATCTAAACCATAGCTCTATTTTGATGAGACAGCATTTCTTAATATCAATAATTTGGTGTAAGAAACAGAGATGGCTGTGTATTTATATGGCCTAATGCGAAAATTTGCAGCTAAAAATTGGCAACCCCACCTCTTAATGAGATCCTACAGCAAATGAGTGTCTGTCAGGGCAATCAGTAAGGCCGAGTCAGATGAACCACACATCTTTTAGCTTGCTGTAGAAACCACCTCTTACAGAACTCCTGAATTTTCTGGAAGACCATATATTTTTGATTTGTAGCATGCACCCACAATAATCTTGTTTGAATAACAGAAACGACATCAGAACCAATTGGAAAAAAAAAGCAGACAAAAGTAGACTCACAAAAGGAACTCTTCCATGAACAAAACTCCAGTTTACATCAGGCAGCTTCCTGAGGAAACACTTAAAGACTGCCTTTACAACGTGAAAGCCAGTCTCCTTTGGCTCTGTCAGGCCAAGAAGGGGTAGGAGACATGGTCTCAAGTAAAAGACCCTCCCACTCCCAAGTGTCTTTGTAGCCTCCTAGAACCCAGACCTACGAACTCTTATTTCCATCGCAGCTACTAGGTTTGCTGCATTAGAAGGAAAGTTGGTCTCCAAGATAGGTAGGACCCACTACATTGGATTTTAATATTGAACTGTTACCTTCAATCGCACTGTGAGCTTCTGCTTGTCCCAGTAGCTCACAAAACACAAGCTGCATTTGCCCTCCCATGAAAGGCATCCTTAAAGAATGCTGATTCTCCTACACCATCTGAAGCTTCTGGATGATTCCCACTAGCAGACCTAGATTCCTACCCAGACCACTCTGCTACAAAAACAGACAGGAGGTGAGGCACAGCAGACTGCTGCTAAAAACTGAGGTCTGGGCAAAGATGGATGTCCTCCTGCCAAGAGCTTTTCTCCACTCTGCAGCAAAAGAATCTCACCTAACCTAGCTCTGACTTCTCCCTGGCAGTTAGGAAGTGGTACAGGAAGGTTAAGGGAACTACTGAGTGCCACGAATGCTCTCCAGCTATTCCAGAAACACCAGGTGACAAGGTACTTGAAGCTATTACAATTTACCTGTTCTGGGGACTAGAGTTGTTCCTAACAGCTGTTCCAGACATATGTTGTTTCACAAAATATATGCAATAGTAGCCGCTCCTATTTAAACCTTAAAGTAAACCCATGGCTTTTTAAGGCAATTTTCTTCTTCTGATATTCCCTTTACCTTCTTCCTTTCTCCTACTTCAGTTAAAATATATCAAATAGAAACCATTCTTATCAAAAATCCCTGACTTTCCCACATTCTTCCAGTTTCTTGTGATTTCTGTGACTCCATACAGTTTCACTGTCATACCCAATCTCAAGTTTTACATCCTAACTTCACATCTTTTGTTTGCTCCCCCTTTTCCCACTCATGTTCATGATCTCTTCTTTGCTGTTTTTTATGCTTGAGTTTTCCCTCATCCACTCTATTAACCACAACAATACACTCAACACGTACTTAGGCCCAGATGTAAATAACCTACTTTCAGTTGTGAAATAATCCAATCATTTCTCTATCAAAAAATATCTCCCACAGAGAAGAAACTTGAAGCTGCAAGAAAAGAAGCACCTCTCTGTATTTTCTGAACTGCTTAGACCAAAACCACAGTCAAGATCTCAGAGCCACATGCCTCAGTTTGTACATCCATGAAAGACTGCAGAACAGCAAACAGAATAAAGACGACAGCTGCTGGAATGAATTAACAGATGAAGACATTAGAGGTTCCCTAGTTATGGTTTGGGGAAACAGAAACATCACTGATCAACTGTGGCCTTCTGGACACAAAAAAAGGATGCTACCTGAAATTATTTTATAGCCTGCACTTCAAGTCTTGAAACACTGAAAAGCAGCAGGATAGCTACAACATGGAAAGAACAAAAGAAGAACAGACAGTGAGGGACTGCAGCCTAGTTAAAAGAAACTTTGGTTTTTTAGATGAAACATTACCTGAATTCCTTATACTGGAGCTGTTCAGTTTGGAATCTTTGATGACCAAGTGCTTAATCCAAAGGGTGGGTGCTGTGATTTCTGAAAAAGAAGAAATAACTGCCTTAAAGAAACAATAGCAATTAGTAAATAAGCACAGTTGTTACTCATGAGGACAAGATGTTTGCTAAAATCATAGAATCATAGAATGGTTCGGGTTGGAAGGGACCTTAAAGATCATCTAGTTCCAACCCGCCTGCCATGGGGCAGGGAAACCCTCCACTACACCAGGTTGCACAAAGCCTCATCCAACCTGGCCTTGAACACTTCCAGGGATGGGGCATCCACAACTTCTCTGAGCAACCTGTTCCAGTACCTCACCACCCTCACTGTAAAGAATTTCTTCCTTATATCTAATTGAAATCTGCCCTCTTTCAGTTTAAAGCCATTGCCCCTTGTCCTATCACTACACACCCTTGTAAAAAGTCCCTCTCCAGCTTTCCTGTAGGCCCCCTTTAGGTACTGGAAAATCATGCCTTAACCGATCCATCATCTTTGTAGAGAGTGGCTCATCCCCTGGTGAGGTCTTCCACCTCTATGAACCACTATTTGTAAATCTTCCACAAGGTTATCTCATTATCTTCCTGTTCTAGAGAGTACCTCTCTGCTGGCAAAACATTTTTTTCCCCTCCCTCTACCCCCCACTTGCTAAATTCACAAGTCTAAAGCCTTTCTCCTCAAGACTTCAAAATCTCAAAGATTATGCTTTGTGCTACAATATATATTGTTTTCCACTAATGTATGAAATCCAGATTTTAAAAAGTCAATCCGGGCCTTAAAAATTGCTTTAACAGCCAAAGAGCTGACCATAGTCAGTTCCCTAGAACAAGCAACAACAAAATTTGAAATAAACAGGCAGAGAAATGAAGATATTTCTGGAAAGACTTGAAAGGAAATCTGTTAAAGAAACAAGTTCTGGTTACAAAAGCATGTCTGATGCACTACAACCAAGACATCCAAACATAAATTTGTGGGGAAAAAAAGTGCTTAGAGCACCTCCTCTGAGGTGTTACAATCAATTTCAAAAAACAGCAGGACCTGCCCTAAGCCACAGAAATGACACATCAGCATTTGATTAGAACTGAGCAAAGCAGTACTCAATCATGGAGCAGATCCTCCTGGTGACTATGCTAAGGCACATGGAAAATAAGGAGGTGATTGGTGACAGCCAACATGGCTTCACTAAAGGCAAATCCTGCCTGACTAATTTGGTGGCCTTCTACGATGAGGTTACAGCATTGATGGATAGGGGAAGAGCAACTGACACCGTCTACCTGGACTTATCCAAAGCATTTGATACTGTCCCACACGACATCCTTGTCTCTAAACTGGAGAACCATGGTTTTGATGGATGGACCACTCGGTGGATAAGGAATTGGCTGGATGGTCGCACTCAAAGAGTTGTGGTCAACGGTTCAATGTCCAAGTGGAGGCCAGTGACAAGTGGTGTTCCTCAGGGGTCAGTACTGGGGCCAGTGCTATTTAACATCTTTGTTGGTGACATGGACAGTGGGATCAAGTGCACCCTCATCAAGTTTGCAGATAACACCAATCTGTGTGGTGTTGTGGACACGATGGAGGGAAGGGATGCCATCCAGAGGGACCTTGACAGGCTTGAGAGGTGCGCCTGTGAGAACCTCATGAAGTTCAACAAGGCCAAGTGCAAGGTCCTGCACGTGGGTCGGGGCAATCCCAAGCACAAGTACAGGCTGGGCAGAGAATGGATTGAGAGCAGCCCTGAGGAAAAGGACTTGGTAGTGCTGGTGGATGAGAAGCTCAACATGAGCCGGCAATGTGCGCTGGCAGCCCAGAAAGCCAACCGTATCCTGGGCTGCATCAAAAGGAGTGTGGCCAGCAGGTCGAAGGAGGTGATTCTGCCCCTTTACTCTGCTCTCATAAGACCCCCACCTAGAATACTGTGTTCAGCTCTGGAGTTCTCAGCACAAGAAGGACATGGAGCTGCTGGAGCGGGTCCAGAGGAGGGCCACAAAGATGATCAGAGGGCTAGAACACCTCTGCTATGAAGACAGGCTGAGAGAGTTGGGGCTGTTCAAGCTTGGAGAAGAGAAGGCTCCAGGGTGATCTTACAGCAGCCTTCCAGTACTTAAAATGGGGCCTACAGGAAAGCTGGAGAGGGACTTTTTACAAGGGCATGTAGTGACAGGACAAGGAGCAATGGCTTTAAACTGAAAGAGGGCAGATTTCAATTAGATATAAGGCAGAAATTTTTCACTCAGAGGGTGGTGAGGCACTGGAACAGGTTGCCCAGAGAAGCTGTAGATGCCCCATCCCTGGAAGTGTTCAAGGCCGGGTTGGATGAGGCTTTGGGCAACCTGGTGTAGTGGAGGGTTTCCCTGCCCATGGCAGGAGCGTTGGAACTAGATGATCTTTGATGTCCCTTCCAACTCTAACCATTCTATGATTCAATACCATGGGCTAGAGCTCCTAAAATGACATTTTCAGAACTGATATTTTCCTGAAAAATTTTCAGTTTCCACAAAAGCAATCCTTAAATACTAGGTCCTGGAGTTTGTCTGATGTTCCTCTAAGAAGTTTTCACAACAGATTTCCTGCTCCCTTGTTGACATTTACATGGATCTGCTTCAAGGGAGAAGCTGGCTGACTACAAAAGAAACTGATTAGACATTATAAGACCATGAAGGAAAAAATGAAAGGGAATTTTTCAAGTCCTAAATGTTTTCAGCTACATTGATCGTAGGCATCAGTGTAATCACATTCAGGGCATTTTTTCATATGGAAATACAGATTGAACACTGATATTCCAGCAGCAGTAAAAGTTTGCTTAACAAAGATTGCCTTATCTGCAGATTTCACTACACTATTTTATCACTCAGTTATTATGCACTCCTATAAATACACATACCTATATACATTGGGCCTTTTCTGGGGAGAACTACATCAAGTTAAACACTGAATGAGAGGGAGGAAGAGGAGAAGCACAAAAGTAGAAAAAGTCCATAAACCAAAGTGGTAGATCCAAACTCCTAAAACTGGAATAAAATTTAGTTCTGGCTCTGCACTGTATGGACTGGGTGTCTGCAGCTGAAAAAGCAGAGACAATCAAAGTTCTATAGATGCCAACGAATGGGTGAGGGCCTTTAGAGACAAAATGGTGCAAATATTTAAGTGAAGGTGAAAGGTGCAGAAAAAGGAATTGTGGGGGGAAAAAGGAGAAAGGAAAAGAAAATTAAATTAATCATTTGAGATCTACCATAAAAATGTATTTTCTATCCAGTTAACCTGGACATTTTCTGGAATACAGGTAAGCAATAGACTCCTCTGAACAATACATCTGTTGAAAGAGTCGATTCAAGAGTTAAGTGGTGAAGTTTACCAAACAGAAAAGACGTTTAAAGAAGTTTTTCTTTAAGAAATGAATACAACTTGCACACTGAAACTAAATAGAGGCTGGATGCAAAGAAAATAGAGGCTGAAAGTGCAGGAGGGAATAAAACTTTTTCATTTAAAACTATAGCAAGGACCATCAATAAAATACTCTTTTGCAGAAGAGAATCTTGTCCTAAGAGAAGATTTTCTAAGAACATTGCTGAAATCTGCATTGTAACGAAGTGAAATAATTTTAAAATAGATGGCTGGCTGCTTTATGATTCAGACCTTGAACAGGAGAGTTTAAGTTATCTGATCTACATTATCTCTGGCTCTGCTGTTATGTCCTCAGGAAGGATCGTAGGGAGTGGGAGGAGAACTTATGCCTGAAACGTGAATATTCATTATCCTTTAACATAGGTGAAAATATGAGAAAGGCAAAGCTTCATCTTGGAGATGTTGAGGACCAAGAGGTATCACACATTTCAGAGGCAGCTGAGTGTATTTAATGCCCTTTGAAAAGTGTCAGCCCCTTGTGGATTGAAAGTAGGCACCTAAAAACAAAGCATGAAAAAAAAATCCACATTTTTACTGTCCATTCATGTTGCTATCAGGTCCACCCTGGTTGCCTGACTGAATACACAGGTTTTCAGGAGCCCAGCAGATCTCAAATTCACTGAAATTGAATAGGATTTGGACTTTAACTCCCTTTATTATGACATGTTTGCTCAGACAGAACCAAGGGATTGTTCAGGATGACAGCCTGAGGTGTCTAGTCCAAACTTCTGCTCCAGACAACATCAGCTATGAGACAAGACCAGGTTGCTCAAGGCTTTATCCAACTGCCTTGGAAAGAAAGGACAGAATATCACTGCTGTGGGCAATCTGTTCTACTGCCTGATTGTCCTCATGGTGACTAAGTTGTTTCTTATATCCAGTCTAAAGATTTTGTTTCAATTTATGACTGTTCTCTCATGCATTACTGTGAAGAGCCCAGCTCCATCTCCCTGATAAACTTCCCTGTAGGTATTGGAAGGCTGCTATTAGGTCGCCTTTAAGTCTTCTCTTCTCCAGGCTAAATGTTTCTTACACTCTTCCTGATGTACCCACTTTAAGCCACTGTTGGAGACAGTACGCTCAAAGACAGAGGATTACACAGACTTTTGGTCGGACCCATAATGGATTTTCTTGTGCTTATTGCTACAACCACCACTGAAATCTAATTAGTCCTATTTTACTAAAAGAGATGACAAAAAACAGAGTGACAAACTTAGCAGAGGTTATTCATCAATGCATAGCTTGATTAACCTGCCTGTCATATTCTCTTCTCCCAGCTCATAAGGGACACTTAATTCAACAGGAAGCCACTGCATTAGTCATTTTCTCTAGAAGTCTAGGAGATACAGTCTTGTGTAATATATTGCAAGATTTGTGAGAGGCAATCTTTCATCATGCAGTCCAAGCCCATTTATCAGACTTGATTTCACCTGCAAATCAATGTAAAGGTTTTTGATTGAAAATGTTTTTCATAGAAGATAGGATAAGATTTATTTCAGACTCTGCCTGTCACCAGAAGGTCCAGAAAGGCCTGTTCACTACACTATTTTTCAGGAACTTTGCCCAGTTCTATTTGAATGACCAAAATGTTGAGTCTCTCCTAGAGGGAGCTTCTGAACAGGCTGTATTAACCAGATCAGCTCACTCCTGCATTTTACTAGTACATTCTTCCCATTGAATATCTAGAGGCCTCCTCTCAGGGGAAAACTTAAAGGCCAGAAGTCTATGATTACAAATGGCAATTTAATACATCAGCTTGCTGCCAGGATGAAATTTCTTTTGATATAAACAAGAGATAGTCAGCATGGCTTCAGTCTCCTTTGTTTATTTGAGAATGCTTTTTGCTTGGAGGGCTTTGCTTTGTTTCTTAAAGCTCACAAGAAAATTCTTACAAATCTATGATCACTAAATGGAAGCGACAGGACTACAGCATCTTGCCATTAAATAAGCTAACTTGAGCAACAAAAAAAAAACCACCTCATCACCTGTTTTTATAAGGCAGGAGGTATCAACAGCATCACCTACTCTTGCTCAGTAGTCTCCATTTCTGCTTTTGATTCAGTTTCAAAACATTATCAAGTATAGCAGTCCAGTATGAAAACACATAGGCTGTCCCTCACTGCTGCATAGTCCACAGTATCAGGTGGGTCACAAAGTAGTTCAGAGCTCATTCAGCTCATAGCTTGACTATAATGGTTGTGGGTTTAAATCTGTAGAAAATGTGCACTAGTAAGCAATATGCAAGATATAAGCAGCTGCTAATAGGCCCATTCACTACCCAAGGACCACTATCCCCACTGGTATTCATGTTTGTATGTGTAAAAGGCTTGAACCTTCTGTGATGACAGCCATTTTATCCTTGTTTCAAGGCTTCCAACAGACTAAGGTCCAATATTCCCTCTCCAAAATACTACAATTGCAAGATTAGCCCATTTGAGAAGGAAGTTGCCTTGGTGGGCCATGAATTAAGTGGGCCCAGGACACTGACTTCATTTGCTTAAATAGTGTGTGCGTCAATGAAAGTAATTGCTAAATAAAGAAACCTCCCAGCAATTTTCTTCCAAGTCAACATTCACAAGCTGTGGTTTAGCACTACCCTCCCTTTGTGAAGCTGTAATGCATTGTACAGGTTACGAAACTTCCAGCATTGCTATAGTCAGGGTAGAGAGAGCGAGGGAGTAAGGACAGTCTAAAGAAAGTTGCTATTTCTGATTTGATGCACTTTTTTTTCTGTGACACCTTTTCCTCCAAGGTTACCCCAGGAATCTGGTCAATCTGGTGTTATTGTTGGATTTTGAGGAAGAGGGGAGGATGTAAAAGGATCAGGGAAAATGCCTGAGGTCCCAAGGGCACTATGAAATTTGGCTAACTTATGAGATTCACTGGCTTTTCTGCTTTGCAGGTTAAAGAAAGCGTTTGAACCATAAATCCTAAGGAAAAGGAAGAGGGAAGTAGGGTATTTTTGTTGTTATTTTAAGGGATTCTCTTACCTTCTCCATCAAAAATAGGCTGGGTTTCCATGGTAGGCGTTGGCTTCGAACCGTCATCTGAATTGAGGGTTAAAAAGAATCGAAAAGAAACTACCATTATTGAGGTAAATACTATCTACTCTCCAGCACTGTTGAATGATTGGGATTTGTACATGGCCCGGCCAAGTCCAGAAGAGAGAGAAGACAGATAGAACAAAAACAAATTATTCAGAGTTTACACTAACAGTAATAACATTTCACATAGCAAGCATGCATCAAGCACTGCACTATCCTTAGCCTTAAAAGAAGCCTCTATCTCCCCCTTCCCCCCGAAACCATTGGTGTGCATCACCTGGCAGTCTCCCTTTGTTGCACTGATCAGGCAATCGCAGCCTTAGTCTCAGGTGGGTGTATCCCACCCAGGACATTTCCTGAGACAGCAGAGGTGTGGGGATTGCTGTCCCACTGTTTCTTTCTTATTCTTTTTGTTTAAAAGAAAAACTCTTCTTCTGAAACTTACCTGTGCAGAACCTGGCACCAGCAATCACTGCAGAGCTGTTAGAAAGGGATGGTCAATAGCAAATCTTTTTTCTTACAATGTCTGCATCAAGATGTTCTCTAATTGCAACACTGTGGCAATGTCTTCTAGTTGCAAAATCTTTGAAAAAGAACTTCTCTGAGATTAGATTTTTCATGTGCAAGTGTTCCATGTCTTCTGACCACAGGTCTTTCATAATGAAAAGCTTCAACCAAAAAAGATTCCACAGGAAATATAAATCTCAAAATTTAGAGGCGGATCACAGGGAAAAGTGTTGAGTTCACACTGCTTGGCTTAGTACACCAATTCATCATATCTACGGATTCAGCTTAGATTCTAATTTCCTCAGTGCTCAGAGGGATCTAGATTTCAAGCCCCAGCTTAGAACATCTTTACACAGCTCTAGGATAGCAGCATAGCATTAAGTGAGGCAAAACTTTTGACTGTGGGCAAGATAAGCTGGAACAAACTGTAGATGTAAGTTTTGTTGCATTGCAAGATAGGAATATAGAACATTGTTGGGATATAAACCAAGATGAGATTAGCCTAGAATTGCCTTTTTTATTTTTCCTCCTTTTTGGAATATAGTGGCTTTAAAAACTTTGTAACAACTATTTTTGCATATGGGCAAAGATGAGACTAGGCATCAGCAAAGCTGGCAGTAACCTAAAATGGAATGTTGCATAGCAAAAATCAGTTGGAGAGAGAAGTCTATGCTAGAAAAGCCAGACTTGCCACTGTCTGCATGACTGTATCAGTTGCACAGGGCAGAAGTCATTTAGAGGAAAGGTGCATGGGACAGCCCCTCCTAGAAGTGGCAATAATTGTCCTCAGTCTTCCCTTATACTGGTTCCAATTACAAAAGTAAAAGACCATTGGAAGGGGATGGGAAGGTCAGAGACAGAAAACAGAGGCTTGTAAACTATTTTTCCACCAATACATGTATTTGCAGTTTTCTGAAGTGAGCAAAAGCCTGAACACTTCTTCTAGTGATCATTAATTTTATGCATTTCCACAGAAAGCAAAAGTGCACTGGTAATTTCATTTCAACCTCAGAGATCTACTAAGTAAAGGGGGTTGACAGAAACAAGCAAGAGATCCTGTTGTCATTTTCCCTCTTGATCAATGTAATTGTTTTTATGCTTAATTATAAGCATATCAAAAATATTAGGAAGAAAAAATACTTACCATTCCTCAGACAACTCTTGTTCTGAGTTTTCCTTTTATTGGGTATTAGCAGTAATATGGATAAGCAGTATTTATCCTTAAAAATTTGACAAACTGATTTCTTGGAAAAATTTCCGAGATTTTGCTTAATTTACAAGAAGGAAGATTTTGCCCTTTAAAGAAATCTCTGGAAAAAAATTAATGGTTGATCTTCACTTTTTGTCAGAATAGGCTGTTATTCTACAAGATCCCAGAAAACATAGCTATAACTTTTTATTTATTTAGGATGACACTTCACAGTGTAATGGAGCAGTGAGCAGTATGTAATGAGCATGATTGGCTGTACAGATTGAGAAGCCAACCCAAAACTGCAAGATACTCATAGAACAACTGGAAAGGTGAATAATTCTTAAATTATATTAAATAGGAAGAGACCTAGCAGAAAAAATAGCATAATAATAAGTTTACTCCTATTGTTCTCATGAATGTACCAAGTAATTACAGAATTGCTTTTCAGATTTAAAGCAGCAACCCAGAAGCCAACAATGGAGAGAAATTAGAAGTGGATCTGAGCCACAACACTTTATCCAAACCATGATGTGAACTTTGGCAGAACTTGGGATGCTTCAGGTTCACAGGGTTTCTTTTAGGCTTGTGTGTGTGAAGAACAGAGACAGTAGCCATTACAATTTGGGAAATACATTCTTCTTAAAGAAAGAGAATTTTGTAGCAGTTTTTGTATAAAGTTAGCCATTAAGCTACTGAAGTGTATTAAATAGTGACAGAATAAATGAAAAAAATCAACAAAAATACCAAACTAACCTTTGAACTGTGTTTTATTTTTAAGATCATCTCAGTAAAACGGCTGTGAATTACACAATCGTTTCCTCACTGAGTTACTAAGGCCAAATCGTGACTAAGTTCAGATTGTAGCAGCACTCAGTATAGTGCTAAGGGTTTTGCAAATACAGGGAAGTATAATTACTCCCCTGTTGTTCAAGCAAGTATAGTTCTTTCATCACACATACAAGAAAAAAATGCAATAGACAAGAGCCCTGTAGTTACATTCACCATATCTGAAGAATCAAAAGCAGGGATATTTCTGATTTTTTTTTTTAAAGCTCATGAAATAGTCACATAAAAGACAAAAATTGCACTTTATTAAAAACACCATGCTCATTTCCCAGCTGCCAGCTTCTTACTCTGAAACTACTAAATCTGTTTCCAAATCTGTTTCTTAAACTGGAGAACTCTCAGTAGGTCTCTGTGTTTCAAATTAGCTTATGGCAAAAAGTTCCACTGCTGTTCCCTTTGGGCAACAGAAGAACCCTAATACTTTTCTACTCTCATTTCATTTTTTCCTGTTGCTCAATACACTGTTCATTACACTGAACATTTGTTCAACTGGCCTGTTTCCTCCTGGTAAACAAGGAAGAAGTTCTATTTTACATACCTGAACATTTTGAACAAACGTTTTGTATTCCTTAAGGTAGTACTTTAATATAGAACATATCTACTTTAACATATCACATATCCTGTGATATTATACAAAAAGTACAGGATGTTGTAACTTTGGAGCCAAAGGTCACCAATTATGTTCATCAAGTATGATCTATTCCTTTCTTCAAAAAGCTATTGAATTCCAAAATTTCAGAAAATTTCAAAAAAAGCATACAACTGCAATAGTTCCTCATGCAGAGTGTGTCATAAACAGAGGGATTAAACAGGTCAAATAAGTGCTGCTTAATCCCTCTAGATGGCAATGCTTCCAGATCAGGAACTCATGCACTGCAGAACCATCAAAGAATTTCCTTTGGTTGCAGAATATTCTCAGAGCCCTGATGAAGAGTGCATTGCCATGCTTCTGTTCCATGTTTCACAACCCAGCATGAATACTCACTTTATTTTTCCAAGACAACTACTGAATACAAATAGCATCACTCAACAGAACACTTCTGACGGGACATAGTTTTAAAGCTGTAAAACTCTTTACCAGTAAGCCTCCTTTCCTAGGGAACAGCTGCAAAATTGAACTGATTTTTCGAGCTCAACTGGTGTCACCTTAGAAATGGCACTTTTATCTTGTCACTGGTAAGAGTGAGATAGGCAGGTCCAAACAACTCTCCCCAAGCCATTTCCACATTAAGATACCATGGCTACAAGCCAGAAGCCCACTTGCACTACTACTGTCAGAGGTTCGTAAGCTTAAGAACAGTTTTTTGTTGTGTGACAATAACTCAGATCTATTGCAGGTATAGGCAAGAACTCTTTATGCTCCCACTAGGACTTTCCTCCCTTATCGTTGCAGAATATCTAGCAAGCATCCACATCTGGAATGATTGCAGTGTACACTGGGGTTGAGAGACAAGGAGATTCAGTTCATGCGAAAGACAACTGTTAAAGTGATCTTTTTACTCCAAATGACAGGCACTGAGGCCACGAGTAACTTGAGTTATGCCTGGGGAAAAGTAAACTACCTGACACAGAAAAAACATAAGTTACTACGGAAAAACGTGAAGTAACTGCCTGCTGCTGTGAATCACTGCTCTTGCCTCAAGCCACCTAATGGAAACGAAGAAAGGGGAAACTTAAGTGATAGAATTAACCTCCTATATCATATCTCCTACCAAGGAAAATACACCCACTGCAGAAGTCATCGGTATACTTGCATCACCACCTTAACAGACTAAGACCTATGCTCCTCCTAAGCAACCTTAACCTTCAGTACATCACCTTTGTGTTCTCACTGGAATCCATAAGACACTCCGTAAACATTTCTACTGTTTTAAAGAGCACTAGTGTTTATGCTGTTAACCATCCAGGCCTTGTACAAAACCTAGGTTTTTCTCCAAGTGTACAGCTTGAACATCAAGGTTTCCCAGACTTTGAGTCAGTCTGATAGAATAAGAGGATGACAATTTTACATACGTGGCTCTGCCCTGGGAGGAGACAGCCTTTGTCCAGTGTCAAGTGGTTCCTTCACTTACCATCATGTGGTTTTGAGTGAGCCACCACAGCGCATAGCTGAAGCTAAATAGGCAGCTTAGAGCCCAGATAGCCAGGACGAGTGAATTGTCTGCATGTCCTGTTCAATGTAGCAAAGCCCAATTTTAGTGAGTCTGTCAAACCAACAGGAAGGGAGAAGAGCTTTCCTAGGCTTGAGCACTCCTGAGGGACTTCAGTCATACATACACCTTTCTGTGACTTTAGTAACTCTGGTCAGAGGCAACAAAGACCTGGCAGGTCAACTCAAGTTCCCTGTATCTCTGCAGTTCCTGAATCTTGAAGACGTAACTTTAGAACTTTGACATTTCTATGTATTACCCTCAGGCTTGAGGGTGTTGTTTTATGTATTAAAAAACCCAACAAAATC